CGGAACAGATGTTGCTCGCAGCAGGGCTCCAGCGAGAAAAAGCCGCACGCGGAATGTTGGGGATGTATATCCAGGCAAGTCGGGCCAATTCGAAGTGAAGGCCATACTCATCTCCCAAACAGGTTGTATTTGCAATGATATTTGATAGGGTCGTGTTTCAGGAAAAACCTTCTTTACTATCTTACTCGGGCACCGCATTGATTATCGGGAGTGCGGTGTATATCGCGGTCGGTTTTCTCACAATTAGATCTGCACCATCATTCCTCACCTCCCTTGATAGTTGTCCAAGACCGCAGATGCGACACATCCTATAAACTCTACTGAAGATGACGTTGAAATTCAAAGTGTACCGATAGATGCCGGCAGCAGCAAAAAGCATGCCATGAGAGAAATTGTGTGATACTGACACTTCATTAAGCTTCATTAGCCTTTGTACCCCTTTGTATTATCCCCGGAACCTGTAGAGTGTAGACCCCTTAGTGTAGAAAATGCGGAATGATCGGCAAAGAGACGCCCGGCATCTCGGCTCGGAGTCGCAGCGCGAGGAGTGTCCCGCCGTGCGACATATTTCTCCAAATGATCTCACCGATGCCGAACCTTTGTTCGAGTCGAACCGCTCAATCGATAGAGCATGTCTTTCTCTGTACAGTTAACAGCAACGACCTACACTCCTGATACTCCTTCTTTTGACCATGAAACTCATGAACGCGAATCCTTTCTGCCACAGTCTTCGACATCCTTATCAGAGCCCCAACCCCAAACCTCGTTGCCACAGGAGACTCAACCCAGCGGTTCCGCGTTCCTTGCCCGACTGAAAACATTGTACTATGATAATACTGGACTTCTGCTTATTGGATCCAGTCAAGCGTTTTTCGCACTGATGAATTTGTTTGTCAAATTCCTGACAGACTTGGACGAACCTGTACCTGCTTTAGAAGTGCGTAACTTCCAACTATGCGTGACGTCGTCATACTGATAAATGCTTAAGCTTGTATGGGCTAGAATGGTAAGACGCAACGACGGCATGACATCCGCAGGCCTAACATTCGCCTCTTCTAGATTATCACATATCTATGTTGTATTTCTTACATGTGAGTGCATCCCTCTGGTACATGTATGGGTATCTAAACGCTCTTTAGGCTTTCGACCAATGTTGAATATCCTTTCACGGGCCCGCCCGAAGTGAGGAAGCTACTTGTATTTAGAGGTGTATCTGGGTGAGGACCTTTTTCGCTATCAAGAATTACTCGGAGTACCGACATAATACTCCAGGTTTTTTGGATTATTTGGGTCTGTCAAACTGGCTCTTGATCTTCTACTCCGTCCTCAACCAAATTCCATAGAGTGTATTACAGTCTGCAATATCTATCACTGTCGGACGCTACTGTTTTGACTTTTCTGGCGCCAAGTGCCACGGGTGTCGCTGGGTATCTATTCTTGAAGGAGTCGTTTTCTAGACGAGAAGCAATCGCGGGATGTAAGTCTCTTACTTCTCAAGTCGTTCAGCTGATTGACAAGTTATTCAGTGTGCAGCCTGGTCGGAGTGATCCTGATAGCTCGACCAGAATCAATATTTGGCGCTCATTCTCCACCGCGGTTGCCGGGAGAAGTCGCCGACGGATCTAATGGTGAACGAGGGACACCAGCTCAGAGAGTCGTCGCTGTTTGGTGAGGTCACCCTTGTGCGCACAAGTATATTTACCTGACGATGATCGTGGCAGTGTGGCATTAGTGGGGGTGTTGGGTGCGACAGGCGCATGTACGTTCTCTTTCCTCTCCTTCTTCTCCATCACCTGAATACGGTCCAGATACAAGTATACGTGCTATAGGCAAACGAGTGCGCCGACGTCCATTGTCCACCAGTCGACGAGCTGATGTAGAACTATAGGCGCATACACTCCATTCACTTGCCTTCTTCTCTCTATACTGCGTCGTTGTTAGCACTCTCATGATGACAGTGCTGCGGATACCATTCGTCATCCCTACGCAGTGGAAGTTCGTTTTCCTCTTGTTCGCCGTGGGCCTCATGGGCTTCTTCGCCCAGGTATGCACCATCTTCCAAGTTTGCTGACCGTACTGAATTTTCATCTATCGTAGACGCTCTTGATCCTTGGCCTGCAGCGCGAGACAGCATCGAGAGGGACAATGGCGGTTTACGTTCAGGTATGCCTAATTTATTAAACGCTCTTCGAATTTTATTCATTTTCGTTAGATCCTTTTCGCCGGTACTCTGGAGCAAATATTTCTACATGTCAAGCCTTCAGTACTCTCCGTGCTCGGTACACTCATTATCCTAGTTTCCGCGATGTACGTTGCTGTAAGTTCCACATTCCATGTACACTCCTCCAAGAACATGCGGCTTACGTACAACTTGCAGTTGACGAAGCAGAAGGAAAAGGAGAAGACTTCGAGACCTGCGAGACATGTGCATTGGGAAGATGGGGATGGAGATGAGGAAGGCGATTTGGAAGAGGGCCTTGAGGGAGGGCAGAAGCCTGAAAGTTTGGAGTTGCAGACTCCATCAGTCAAGGCGTGATGTTGTATTTGAATATGTTTGTTGGCGTACGAAAGACGTGTATCTTCGTCGCGGTTCGTGGACATATTATGGTGCCACTTTCGTAGTGGGTAGAGTTCATGGGATATTCTAGTTCGTAAATGCGATAGCATCAGGATGCCGACGAGATAAGTGGAACGGATACTGATCTTTGATTGCGTGATCTGAGCCTCTCTCATCACGGAGATCGATCTCATTGATCTCCTCACAAAAGTGCTCACATCTGAATAGCACATTTAGACAACAAGGGGCTTCTTTTCATTCGCTATTATCTTACAGACTAGGGACATGCAACGACGTTCTCGGTCAAGCTAAATGAGTACCTCAACGATATTGTTGTTACCGACAGGTTGATAGAAAACGCTGCCAACATGATCTCCTGAATTATCGGGAGCAAACGCAGCCGATGCCAACCCTCCTTGACCGTCGGCATTGGGATTGGTGATATCCCCAGTAAAGGAGTTCACTGGTCCGCTCCACGCCGAACCGTTGTACTCGAGCTTCTGTATGCCATCGTTGTCTCCGTCATAGTATATGTGGACCTTGCTAGAATCCCACATTGCGACAGTGAGGGAGCCAGAGGGACTGGCGGGGTATGTTTTCGGGAAGTTAAAGAGAGTAGAGCCGTCGAAGTAAACCGATGCGGCAGCGATATTGCTGTTCGCATCCTGCCAAGCGACCGTTACTCTTGGCGAATAATGCGCATTCTCGGTGTCGGCGCCAATCGGGGTTCCCAAACGAGCTGGGTTCTTGGAAATGTTCAAGTCGCTGCCGCCTGTGCTGACAATCCACTGCTTGTTCCCAGAGTTCCACTGGGATTCTCGAATATATCCGTCCGTGTCCTGATAATAGACTCGGATATATGGATCTGAGTACTCTGCAGCACCGAGGTTGGAGACCGCTGTGAGGTTGTAGGCAGGCACCTCGCCGACGTACGACCACACGTTGGAGTTCTCAGATTTCTTCCAGTCTTTGATTTTAGGAGGGGAAGAAGTGTTGTCGACGAAATAGATGTGGATCTCAGGATCTGCGCCAGGTATGTTCTGACCATCACCAGGATATGCGATGGCGGCGAGAGAGGCTCTCGAATTCAAGTTGAAAACCGGTGAGCTACCTGGCTTCCAAGCACCTTTGTCCCACTTCACCTCGTGAACGGCGAAGTTGGAACTTTGATAGTAGACGCGGATATGGGGATCCTCTGACGAAATTTCAGCAACTTGTCGGTTGAAAATAAAATGGATCAGCGTACTGTTGGTAGTTCTATCTACCCAAAAGGTGCAGGCCAAGGCGGTGGAGGTGACAGCTTGAGTGCTTGCCATTGTGTAATGCTGATCGAATGCTGCACAGGAGAGGAGGTGTGGTTGCACTCCAGCCCGTCACGATACGGTACTTATGGGGCGTCCAGAAATCTCGAGATCCATCGCGTAGATTACATCGTAGGCACCTCGAAGGACGTATTCCAAGAGGGACTGAATTCGGCGGAAATCAACATGGACCGGCTTTGTTGACCGGGAAATGCGTCTTGCGATGCATTACTCGACTAGTTCCGTTGTCGTATAAGGCTTTTCAACAGCGAATGTTGAAGCATGAGCTCTGGAAGACGCGAATATCGATGCATACATCATTTGACACCCTCAACCCCAATCTCGGATCGCGACCTTCTGGGAGCATGCCAAGATTAGCGCAGGCATAGTACATTTCAATTGAGAGCGCCGCTGATAATCAGATCCATCGATGTCGCCTTGCTTTCGGTTCCAAGGGTCGTATTGACTGTCCATCGAGGGGCTTTTGCGTAGAGCATGAACGAGATCAGCGCCCCAAATTGTAACATTGGCTGTCACAGAGCAAACCCGTGCGAGGCGGGTTCAAGAGAGAGTGACAGCTGATCTGGGGTGAGGTCAGGCCTTGCTGAAGGTTTCGAGGATGGACCTCTGCGGTGGCTCCAAGACGGGTTTATCGATGATTTGGACGGGACCGTGGGAGAGGCCGTGTTCCGAGAGAGCCAGTGTGAAGGGTTTGTGTGATTCTGGTGGTTCAATAACGTTTAAAATGTCGTAGTCTGCATCGTGGACTGCACGTTTCTCCATAACCGTGTGCAGGTCCTGATCAGTTCAATTGACTCGAGTTGGAGATAGCTGAGGGCCGCGCGGCAGACTGTGAATCTCGTTCAACAAACTTGAGGATTGGTTATATACATGACGTTACGGTGCAACGATCAACGGAGTGATAGCTCTGCGAAGCCGCACCAAGAACAGTGAAATTGCATAGCAAAGAGTGTAATTGACAGACGGCGCGGTTCCGAGTCGTCGAAATGACTGTCCACCCGGGCTTGCGAGCTCGGAGCAAGGTCCGTCAGTGAGGTACTCAGTAACTGGTGGTGGAGACTGGCTGGGCGCTTAGGATGGGGACCCTTTATATTTTTAAATGTTTCGGCGTCAGTATGGCTGCCCGCCTAGCTCAATCGGATAGAGCGTCAGACTCTTACGAGAGGCTTACGTAAAGGTCACGTGCATTGCTTACGTAATCTGAAGGCTGCGAGTTCGACCCTCGCGGTGGGCTAGAATTCCCTTTTGCTTTTAATTTTATGGTCCAGCAACCTTTCCAGAGCTCCAGAATGTCGTAAGTCCGATTTTTAGACTCTAGGGAATTTTTTCAAGCCCATGGCACCTAATTTTCGGTCTCAATGATGGGTTTGATGAGCACGGGATTTGTAATGATGAACAGAATGTGGACAGTGATGAGAAGTTGTTTTACTCGAGGACGAGGCCGCATACATCATCGCCCCAGGCTAGGATTCGCACCCGCGACCCAAAATTGAAAGACCGACACTTGTCTAGGACACCCAACGCGATGCAACCACCACAGAAACCTTCCACATTATGTGGATCGTCTGCCAGTGACCTCTGATAGGAACGGAAAAAAGGACAGGCCCGGGCATCCACCGGGAATCTAGTGAGTTGCCAGCCAGGGTCCGACCAACACCATGCCCCAACACGAGGTTTGCCAACCCCCGAGATCAGGTTTGCTTCCCTCGCCCATCCAGAAACAATATGTTCTCCCCTTTCATCGGTGGAACTGACTTTCGAAGGCCCAGACGAGGCATCAAACAAACAGCTTCTCCGACGATTACTAGTAGCGTCTTCCCGAGCCTTGACTAGGTCCTTCAGCTCAATTCAACGCACCGGAACCTTGAAAGTCTGCTCGATGGAGGATACACAACTGGCGTCTGCTAGGCCTCTGTAACGCAATGTGATTCTGGAAGGCAGATTTTCCAGAACGTCTGGAATCCCGAAAAACTTTTCTGATGGCCATGCTTGTCAAGATTTATCAAACTCAGCTCGTGTCCAGATCACTCCGGTGTACAAAAGCTTCGAGGGAATCTCATCTATACATTCTGGGCTGTTGAGTGCAGGAACTTTGTATTACTTAATGTGCTGGCTGTCCTCGCGTATTGTGGTCTTGCGAGGCTGAGATTGAGTGGCAAACGTGCACTGGCACAAGCTCTCCATGGCATCACAGGTACTATTGAATTCTCGACGGCAATTTTGCTTCATTCCGATGATGCGCGGGTCCTATATCCACGAAGATTGATGAGTTTGTTCAATTCAATTCACTCACTAGGCCATGCAGCTATCGTATGCATCCACTCTGAGGGTCGTGCCCTGCGTTCCGTTCTGAGAGTTCAACCCACGAAGTTGTCGTGAGTCCAACTTTTGCACTACTAAGTATAGGTAGTAATGTTCTCTCCATCACGTATCGCGGAATCAAACAGACGTCAGGAACAAAATAGGCCGATGTACAGTCCGTGTCAGTCCGTCAAGCATCGATGACCCGCGTAAATGAATATAAACGACTAAAATTAGACACTATTATTGACAGTATGATGAGGGAACAAGAATTATTAATATGATACCAGCGACGTTGCATTTAGTCGTCGATTAAGCAGCAGCTCTTCCGAAACGCACCCACAATCCTCCCTGAATTCCGAGTAAGAATGCTGCGCATCCACCAAGAATTACGACATACCTTGACATAGAGCGTCAACGCACTCGCAGGCCACACCTTCTCGATCTTGGCTCTCCCTCGTCCTTCAGTCTTCCATGAATCCGGAGGAATGGATCCAGCAGGTTGATATTCAGGCGTCAACTCGAAGCGATCATATTCTTGGAATAATCGAACAAGGAAAAACGACGCTTCGTTCAACGCAAATTGTTGTCCGAGACACTATAATTCCATCAACGACTGCCCTTCAAACGAAGAAAGAAGGCTTACGATACGAGGCCCTGCGTTAAAGGGGACGAACATCAAAGGATTCTTGACCATCCTATCGACACGTTTATCGATCCAACGATCAGGGTCGAATTCGTCAGCGTCAGGACCCCAGAGATCTTTACGACGGTGAAGGAGGAGAGGCGAATATATGACGCCGGTGTAGGGTGGGACGTAGATTGGTCGTTGATCGGGAGATGCGGGCGAAGGTGGGATGGCGCTGGCGACTCCGACGGATGCACGGCCGTTACCTGGAACGGGAGGGAAGAGACGGAGAGTCTCGTTGAGGACGGCGCGCACTGTTTAGATTGTTAGTATGGGTGTGTGGAAGGATATGATAACGTACTATATTTCAGGTGGCGAAGAGATTCGTAAGTCGGGACTTGGCCTGGAGGGCAGGCGTTAAGAGCTTCTTCGCGAACGCGGGCGAGGACTTCGGGGTATTGAGCGAGAAGGTAGATAGTGTATGTAAGCAGGCAAGCCGTCTTTCAGACATGTCAGTAGATGCTCATTCGCAGAGCATATATTCACGGACTGTATCTCTCGACGCAAGGAGGATGTTGAGAAGCTCAAATCGGATCATTTCAGGATCTGAAGATGATCAGATCAAGTATAACAAGAAGGAAATCCACTCACCATCAGTGTTCGTCGCCAAATAATCCAGGAAATTAGTATCTTCGGCATGTTTCTCAATGCCCGCCGCTTTCGCCTTCTGCTTCTCATCCAAAGCACGTTTCACCATGGGGTCGAGGAAGTTACGAATGGCCTGGACGTATTGAAGAGTTCGGTCTCCGAATAATTCGACTACGGGCCAAGCAACGCCAAATCGAGATCGCTCGATGATAACTTGCTGAGCCGACTCGAAAGCCGATGCGAACTCTCCGAATTCCCCTTCGATGGCGGATCCTTTAGGTCCCATCACGGCTTCTCCTGCTTTAGGAAGGGGTAGCGACAGAGTATCAATATTCGAGCCGAAAAGCTGAGGAATGTTCAGACGAATAGCATATACGACCCAAACTCGACTCACGAAAGACGAGGCAGTATCAAGCGTGAATCGTGCAAAGAGGTCTTGGACGTCTACAGCCGAATCCCCAACGCCCCGAAGGACGGACAATGTATGCGCTGCATGTTCTTCGAAATATTCGAAATCGGAGATACGCTCCTTGGCGAAGAAAGGACGGGCCATGGCGCGGTGCGATCTCCAAGTGTCGCCATCACGGTTGAATATACCTGAGCCGAGGAAGGTTTCCCTTAAACAATATCAGCGTTTTGAAGACGCGAAGGACAGAAGAAACGTACATGTTCATCTTGATTCTCTGACCCTTTCCAAATTTCTCAAATCCAGTCGCAAGCACATATTTCACCACTCCTTCATCTCTTGTCCAGATCTGCAAAACAAAGGTACAAGATTAAATTAGATGGTACCTCGATCGGACCGAGATGAATGAGTGGTCACCTGATTTCCCCAAAGGAGTCTAGTATTGACAGTATGAGAGCTGTGCTCCTCGAATAGCGTATCGATATAATCATGGAAATATTTCGTTTTGGCAGATTTGAACATGGCGAGCATGATGTCGATATTTCCGGGCCATTTACCAACGACTTTGGGAGGCTCGACTGCGCCGAGTCGTTTCGCCTCTTGAGTGTGTCTGAAATCAGAGTATGTGGATCGGATTGTGTTCCACAGGGGAACCGAGGCGATTTGCAAAAGAATGGTGGCGGGCCATGAGAGGGTATTGTGGAACAAGAGTCTGGCGAGGAAAGCAACTGTTACGGTCGGGAAAACGAAAGCAGGGATGACAGTCTTGAACAAGAAGAAACGACGGTAAGCCGTATAATCGACGCCTTCGTCCATGCTCAAGCTCATGGTGGTAGCTGACGAGGAGGAGGAGAAATAGGGGATATGGGTGCTATCGATGGATGCTTATAAGAAGACATGTTGATGCTTTTCTGCGTGCTATATCAGGTTCAAGTTCGCCGCTTCCGGATCCGGTTCAACCTCTGCGGATTTAATCACATGTAGTCCGATCGGGCATCGGCGATCTGTTTGGCCGTTCGTGTGGCTTGCCGAGTGCCATACGACATCGACGTCTTCCTTGTGCTCTGCTTAATCCATGACAAAACGAGTTTGACAGCAGCGAGCTTGTCAGCATGAAACTGCTCAGTTTCAGCTCCCCACGCATTGAAAAAATGACCGTCGGTCTCCATTGACTCTCCAAAGAACTCTTCGACTTCCGAGTCGGCGTCCCGAGTTCGAACATCCTGAAGAAGAGTCCGGGGCGCGCGCGAATCAAGACCCGCTCGCAGTTGGACAAGTATAGCAACTCGTGGACCTTACAGTCGGCCAGCGTCCCGATGAGTCGTGGAGAAATGACAAACAGCTTTCAGGAGGAACGTTGACAAAAATTCGCAGTTGCTATAGCTCACCGCCAAAAATCAGAGAAAAACACGACGGATATTCTATCGCTCTGTGACTTTCCTGGTGGCCGCACTCAACCCCTTACCCCTGCTCTGCTCCTGATAGGAGTCCTGGACCTTTCCCTACCTTTCCACGATAGACCAATTCCGCGCTGGAAGTCTACAAGAACCTCGTATGTCTCACGTTCGATATAGAGATGTCAATGAGTACTAGTAATATTATCACCTTGATGCGCCGAGCGTGAAGATAAGACGGCAAACTGAGGGCATCGAATGACTGAACCTCGGCCATCGGCCATCGTAAAGACAGGAAAACTGCGAAAGCGAAAGCAACGACGAAAAAATACCCAACAGCCTCCCACAAAACATCCCCTCGTCATACTCAAGCGCTCTCCTCATTCCCAAAGCTCATCCACAATCCCCCCTTCAAAAATCCAAAATCAGCCACTCTCATCACCCCCCAAACGAAAAAAGAACGTACCTTGACAAACATAGTAATAGCACTAGCAGGCCAAACCTTCTCCTGACTAGCTCCCCCAACTTCGCCTTTCCACGATTCAGGAGGCAACGATCCAGGAGGTTGGAAAGCTGGGGCGAGGGTGAGAGAAGAGAATTGTTGGAGGAGGGATATGAGGAAATATGAGGCTTGATTTAGGGCGAATTGTTGGCCTAGACACTACCCATCACCACACCCATTAATGCTATTTTTAGAAAGACTTGGGGGAGGAGGGACGTACGATTCGAGGACCAGCGTGAAAAGGGATAAATATAAACGGGTTTTTCACAACCAGCTCAAGTCGCTCGTCAAGCCATCGTGTAGGGTCGTATATATCTGCGTCGAGACCCCAGAGGTCTTTGCGGCGGTGGATCCA